TCTTTTCTGATAGCATTTTGAAGACTTTTCAAGCTGAGTGCTTGAAGTTAATGATTAGCTTTCTGTGCAGTTTAGGCTGAAGTTGCATTGCATATTCAGGTTTGTGAAGTCCTTTTGCTAGGAGATATGATGTTTTAAGTGTTCTAGCTCAACCTTTGATACAAGCTGTTGTGTATGAGCTCCCAAATCCTGAGCCAAACACTTCAGGAGTCAGTCTTGCTGCACACTGAGTTCTTTGAGTCCCATCCAGATGGCAAGTCCTTTTGTTCATTTTAACCAGATTCTCTAGCGTCTGGTGTCTTTCCTTTGTGGAAAGACGGACCTTGTATCCCACGTTATCGTTGGCTGATGGAATTTTTGCTGCCCCTTTTGTTTCTTGTTTTAAATACGTGAAGATTTCATACTCAATAATTCACTTGCATTTCTTTTTTTCCCCTAGGATATGGTGTTTCACCGGGGCCACCGCAGCATAACTATCCCAATACGTACACCATCATTCAGCAGCCTGCTACCACCACCTCTGTTGTAGTAGTTGGAGGCTGTCCTGCCTGCAGGTACAGTTATTCTTTTCACTTGCTCAGCTTTTTTTAAATAGATTCAGTCCTATTTATATACTTCTATCCTCAAAATGAGGTATTTTAGTTTTAAATGGATATTATAACTGAATTAGTTGAATTAAGTAAGTCAGATGCTTTGACTCAGCCTGTCAGAAGTATATGCCTGCTAGTAAGAGAAATAGACTTGTGTCAGTATAAATCCATTTTTTGTCATGGAGGGGAAATCATGTTCTTTGCAGCCTGAGCAATATTTTAATAGAAAAAATTGTCTAGGTCTTGGCCAGTATTTGGGGGAGGGGGAGAAGTTTGTTCCATATGTTTGGTTTCCTCTCATTAGTACTTGGGTACTGGTAAAAATAAATAAAAACATAAGCTGAATCCTGTTTGATTCTGCCAAACTCTTGTGTAGCTTGCATAGCTCTTAAGAAAACCTGAAATGTTCATTCCCTGTCACTACTGAACCAATGCCCAAGAATGGGCAGTTTTCTTTTTTTAGTATGGGTTTGCACTTCTGAATTGCTGTAATATCTATCCTGCTAAGAGAAGTACATTTTGAAGAGTGGGGAGGTTTACTTGCTGCAGAAGAATTGGTAGATTAACAGACATGAGTTGGTGCGAATCCAAGATGGGACATGAGATTCAGAGGAAACGGATGCAAGCTTTTTCCTTTTTAATTACAAAAAACAAACAAACGCTCTCACAATCTGCCCTTTGGAAACTAGCAAGAGCAGTGGTAAAAAATAAGATCCTAGAAAATAAGATGGAGAGCATGCAACCCTATATGTCCCTTTATATTCTTACTTGTAATATTTTTGTTCAATTCCATCCATTCC